TCCAAACAGTACCGCTAACTGAGGGCCAAGTGTCCATTCAAACCACCACACTGACCCCTTCTAAAATTACCTTCCGAAGTCTAAATGAAGCTCACGGCTTCACCTAAGTGGAGGTCTCTGAGGAAGGACCTCCACTGAGCTCCCGCCTCCTCTATTCCAAATTCACTGATCATGCCAACCGACTGAACACTGCCTAGGTGTTCCTTCTCCTAAGGAGGAATGCTTTTGTAAATGTTAACTTGCTTAACACCTAAGTGGGACTTTCCATTGCGTTCGGAATATGACATCCTTTCTTCGTCGCCAGGCTCCGTCTCCGGCTTCCACCTCCCGCTGCTACCCCCCAGCTGATGCTACACATCAGTTTCCAGTTCTGGGACTTCACTACAGTTTTCCCAGGTTAATCTTGTTAGGAGCATCCATCGATCGATCGATCGAGTCAAGTTTCAGCTTCAGATTAACCATTTCCTTGGGGAGGCAACCCGAGGTCCCCACCTGTCACTCTCGCTTTTAGTCCCCGCCCTGTGGTTTCCTGGCACTCCTGCCACTGCCTTTTGTTCACCATGAGGTCTAGCATGACTTCAAGCTCGTAAAAGCAAACGCTATGTATTTTCCGAATAAATGAAACGAGAGTCTAGGCTTGTCCAATTTGTTGGCATTATTCAAACTTCAGTCACCACAGAGAAGTAATTACATTTCTTTTGCTCTAGTGAGCTCATCAAAAATGTTACTTCCTAGAACATTCTGAGATCAGGATGAGACCTAAATCCAAACCGCAAGAGGAGAAGGAAGAGCATCCACTGTGGTTCAGGGTCACAACTGAAACAAGGAAGAAATGAGAAGCAGAGCTGAATTTCCAGTGCCCTAACCCTGGGTTTCCTCCCTCATCTAGAACGGAGCATTGTTCAGCACCCCCAGAAAGCAGCCATATAGTTTATTCTGGGTTTTTAACACTGCAACAGCTGAGCAACAACAGAATAGTCTTTGTGCTTTCTTATACCAATTAAAAAAAAAGAAATTAGCCAGGTGGTGGTGGCTCACACCTTTAATTCTAGCACTTGGGAGGCAGAGCCCGGAGGATCTCTGTGAGTTTGAGGCCAGCCTGGTCTACAGAGCGAGAGCCAGGACAGGCACTAAAACTACACAGAGAAACCCTGCTTCAAAAAACAAACAAACAAACAAATAAATAAATAAATAAATAAATAAATAAATAAATAAATAAATAAATAAAGTTTACAATTATTTTCTTAACCAAGAAAGAAATATGAACAACCTCTGGGTAAAAATGTACAGAAGAGAATGAGCCCCACACAGCAGGGTTCAGTAGGTCTGAAGATGGGCCCTAGAAGGGGGGCACCTGGAAGAACAGACACCAGGGGATGTGGCATCAGAAAACAGACGGCCTGGACCAACCAGGACAGAGCAGCAGCAGGAAGGTCCGAACTTTCCCAGGCAGCTGTAGTCTTCAAAAGACAGACCGTTTTGGATGAACAGTTTGCAGTTAGAAAATGTATTGGCTTATGCTTGGAAAACACAGTTGTCTCATTTCTGGTTTATGAACACCCTGGGAATACAGAAGAAGTGCATTTATATCTGCATCGAAGTCGGTGTGAAGCTGTTTTGTGCTAGCACACCTTTTCAAGGGGCTGTTATTCTCACTGCTGTTCCTTGGGTTTTAATTGTATGTTTCCTCCCGGGCATGCTTGTCTCCACAACATTGCTTTGAGAGCAGAGGTGTCAGCAGTCTCTAGCGCTATTTTAAGCTTGGGTAGGAGCACACGTAACCCAAGTAGGAACCGTGAAAAGGAAATTCAAGGAATGTCTGCGGCCGTATGCTTGGGTGTCCTTGGAATCCTGTTCTAAATTAACCCACACTTTGGCTACAAAACCCCGTTTTGAAGCAATTCACCTGAAAGAGTAGCAAAAGAGCTCACAGTAGCATCAGAGCTCACAGATATGGGTTGGGAAGGGTAGAAGCAGGTGGGTAGAGATAATAGACAGACAGACAGACAAATGGATCGATAGAGATAGATATACTAGAATGGGGTGGACAGAGATGGATAGCTAGAAATAGTGGAAAGAGATAGAAAATGATAGATAGGTGGATAGGGATAGCTAGAAGTATAGATGGATGGACACTGATAGAGACACTGATAGACACACATAGAGCTACAGACAGTAGAGGTAAGTGGAACAGGCACAGAGCGGAGAGATGAGGGACAGATAGATAATGTATGTAGAGACATGACTAGAAGGTCTCCCATGTATCTACATGCTTTACTCACTAAGTATTTATTACTAAAGTATAATACACAGAATTAAACATTTGTTTACTTGACGTGGAAGAAGGGGAGACATGGGCTTATGTAGGAATTGCTTTGAAGCTGAAATTACTCCCTGCTTAAGCAAAAGACTGTTTCTAAACAACGCAGACCATTAGAATATGATGAACTAATTATTCAAAGCCTACATCGCTGTGAACCACGGAGACCCCTGACATGGAAAGGGATTTAGATTGGTTGAGTTACACAAAGGGATCTTTCTGAGGTGTTAATACTCAATATCTAGGCTTTGGGGTTCAGGATTATTCTCTTTGAGGTCTTTATCTGACTTTTGTAATAATGACTTTCATCAAGCTCAGAGAGCACCTCCATGGAGAAATCGTGAGGTGAATTTGATGCACGTGAAAAACAGAGCTTCCTGTCTGATCCCTGCCTAGCCTGGATTAACGGAGCCCACTAAACAAAACACAAGAGCTGTAAATCAGAGGCATTGGGGTAACAGGTGAGGAAGCTCATTGCAACTGCCTGCAGCGGGTTGTGCTGGCTCTTGATTGTAACCCCAGCGCTTAGGGGGCTGAGAGAAAAGCACGGCTACAAGTTCAAGACCAACCTGGGCTACAGAGTGAAACCCTATCTCAAAAACAACAACAAAAATAAATACAAAACAATGTCTAGGGGGTGAGCATACCAGAAAAGCCTAACACCACTGGAAAAGAATCAGTTCACTTGAGGGCAATAAAGGGCCCAATGTAGGAAGTTCAAATCAAACCTCACGGCCTCTCAAATGGACCCAGGTACAGAGCGCATGTGCTCCTACAGCCTGTCACAAAAAGAAGCTGAGCTGTGAGAACATGAAGTGCCCGACACCAAATCACAGCTCCAGCAGGCTAGAGATTAACCATTCAGCCCAATGAGCTGCATGTTTCTCGGCTGTGTGTGTAAACAGCAGCAGGAAAAATCCTCATGGAGGCAGACGGGAGGAAAGACAGCAGGCACACCATAGTGACCGGGCCCAGGGCTGCTGGGGGAGGCCTAGATCACCCTTTTGCACACTTCTTTTGCACACTTTGACACAGTGGAAGCAATCCTGCTCAGAGCTCTCCATTGCCTATGAGTCCTTTAAGCCAACACGAACCAACCAAAGGTTCTCTGCTTGCTGTTCTCAGAATCCAAAATAATGGACCGGAACCAGTAGAATGGAGATCAGCTCTATCCTGAGAGCTATTGGCCTTGAATTCAACAAAAGTGATCTCAGGTGAAGAAGAAAGCTAGTGAGTGGCCCTACCTCCCTTTGGGAACTGCCCAGAGCTGGGACATCTGAGGACAGCTGATAACTGATAAGGGTTCTGATCCTCCCACAGAGCACTTGCAATGGCAACACCTCACTGATAGGGAGACTTCTCCCAGCCTCTTATAACACACTGATGAACTTCTGGAGCTCCGAGCAGTTCCTGGGCCTGTGGTCAGCAGGCCTTGCTCTGGTGGAAGCCTGCACCCGTATCATGGCCAGAGGTTATGAAGGTGAAATCTGTTGTGCCTGAAACTTCACAGCTGCAGACAAATGTGTCGGTGGAGTTAGCCACAGCAAACAGCTGAGGTTATAGTCACTCATGGGAAAACACCATAATGAAAGGGAGGTACAACATGACCCAGAGCTGGGAACTGACCTGGAGCTGTCCCTTGTCATGAGCAAGAGTAACAGAAAGTAACATGATCTTCACAAAGGAACCCTCTGCCCAGTTCTCGACTTCAGGTCACATGAGAGGCAAACATTTTTTGTGAATAATTATTTGTCAAACTAAATCCCTAAAAGGTTCCCTTCCTTCGTTTGCGTAAAGTCATTTGATTTGATGGATGGATTTCTACCATACCACCGTCTACTTCATCTCTGCCATCAAGATACTAAATAAAATGCTACAGAAGACATCTTTTTTTTTTTTTCAGATGTGGTATCATTCTTGTTTTGGTTTTATTGAGTTATTTCTGAAGTTTACACATTGACTTCTAACTAGGAGCACTCCCTAACCCCACCCCTCAACCCACCCCGTCAGAAGACATAATTTTTAGTTAAGTGTAATTACAGATGTAATCTAAGTATATATTCTCATCTTGCAATGAGTGTGTCGTTTTCATTCACAAAACAAAAGGAACAGAGCAAGTTACAGAACCAGAGATGTTTAGGAAGTCTCAGGTGAAGCAGTTTCTCCTAAAAAATGGCTCTATGAACAAGACCGGAACAAGAGCTGTATCAACAGAAAGGGGAAATACCCCTAAACAAGGAACTACGACTAATGGCCACTGGCAGAGGGAGAATTAGCCTCCCCCAGGGATGAGTCCAATGAAGAGTGGTCAGCCTTCAGCCTTCAGACCATACACACACAAGCAACAAAAACGGACTCAGCCGGTTGTATTTATATACTTGAGCATCCATCCATACATATATGTATGTGTGGAGCAAAAATAATCAAAGAAAAAGAGGCTGTCCACTTGAGAATGGTGGGGAACATGGCGGGGGGTGGAAGGAGAGTACCTTGAAGAAGAAAAGACACGAAAGAGGCGAGTGTAAATACACTCATAGCTGTAGGGGCGCGCAGGGCGAGTTCAAATCAACCTTTGCAGGGTTTGTTGACAGCACCAGATAAATTCAAAGGCTCATTTTTGACTCCCCTAAGCATAGCCGGGCAAGCTAAGTCAGGCTGGGAATACAAACGTGACACTCACTGATTCCTTGGAAGAGCTCCTCGATGTTAATGGCGTTCTTCGCACTTGTCTCAACCACAATGGCACCTATGGATTCAGCGTATTCCTTAGCATCCTTCAAGGGCACCTCCCTGAAAAAGAGGTCAGACCCATCAAGAAATGAATGCTTGCTTGTAAAACCTGAGTACTCCAGAGACCAAACAAACAGCGCTCGTGGAAATGACACCTTTGCTTTCCTATAGAATAACAACTGAATATTCATAGAGGATTGAAGACCTGCAAGGAATGCACCTTAGAAACGGGTCTCTACCAGGTATGGTGGTCCATGCCTTTAATCCCAGTTCATGCATGCCAGCCTGGTCTACATAGTGAGTTCCAGGACAGCCAGGAATACAGAGAGAGACCCTGGAAGAAAGAAGGAGGAAGAGAAGGAAGAGAAGACAGAGGAGAAGGAGAAGGAAGAGAAGGAGGAGCAGAAGGAGAAGAAGAAGTTGTAGTTATAGTAAGTAGTAGTAGTTGGTCTCTGGCAACCATGGACAAGACACACATTTATAAAACAGTGCTCTCTCCACAGGAGTGAATTCCTAGACTGGAGAGAAAATGGTTGCAAGTACTGGCTATGGATATTCCAGAAGTTTGAATGTCTGTTCCCTTGAAACTGACATTGACATTTAATTGCCATTATGAAAGTATTGAGGGGTGAGACCTATAAGAGGACTAAGCTAGAGGGTTGGAATTAATGCATTTATGAGAGAGAGTTCAACCCCACTCTGCATCTTTGCCCTTCCGCCTGTGAAGATCAGGGTTCTCCTTTCCACAGACCAACATGGTCCAAACACCATCTTGGAATCAAAATCACCAAACTTGCTGGTGCCTTGAGACTGAATATCCAGGCTCCAGATTTGTGAGTCTGTATATTTTGCTTAAATGATCCAGTCAGTGGTATTCTGTCACAAACTAAAACAGACTACGGCAGGTTAGTTTCAACCTTTCTTCTGTCACATGACTCAACATTATAACAATAATACACTGTGTGTGCACTAGTGAACAGCTTTTGACATATTTCACATATGACAGTTTTGCCACATCTGGAGGTTCAACATCCATGTACTCAACTGATTGCAGATTAAAAAAAAAAATACACCGGACCACTTCCTAAATGATGCTGTACAACATGCTCTTTACATCATGAGAATGAATGAGGATGGCTCCTAGAAGCTCAAGGGTTTGAATGCTTGGTCCCCAGTTAGTGGGACTATTTGGGAAGGATTAGGGGGCGTGGCCTTGTTGGAGGAGGTGTGTGACTGGGGCAGGCTTTGAGGTTTCCAAAGACGCCATTCTCTGTGTATACTCTTGCTTTCTGCTTGCAGACCAAGATGTGATCTCTCAGCTGCTCCTGCACTATCGTGGACTCTAACCCTCTGGAACGGCAAGCCCAACTAAACGCTGCCTTTTATAAGCTGCCTTTGGTCATGGTGCTTTATCACAGTAACAGGAAAGTAATGAATGCCTACAGCATTTACATCATACTAATATAAATAATCTGGAGATGATATAGAGTGCATGGGGGGTGGCTTCTGACAGATACTAAGCACCCGTGGACTCCGGCAGCCCCGATGGACGTCAAGAGACATCACTGTCACTTTTCACAAACATAAAATCTGTGACATGATTTGATGGTTGGCAATGAAAATCTTGTGACCGTGATGCAATACGGCATGCCTGAACCTTAACCTTTCAAAGGTGTTTCTTACCAGGGCTTTAGGGCGTAACAATCTAAAAAGGAATCAACATATCTGTTTTCATTGTGAAGATACCTCTAGAATCATGGGAAACATAACTCAGAAAATGGGGTAGGGACTAGAGGGAAAGAAGAATCTAGAAGCTCTTCTGATGCTGGAGGTGAGAGATGACATATTTGAGTAAAATGACAATGGAAAAGAAGAGAGGACGTACAAAGCTGACTCCTGGAACGAAGCTGAGGAGACAGAATTCATTTCCTTCCCTTTTCTCCCCTCCCTTCACTCAACTGGTGTGAGAAGTTGTCAGGGAAAGTGTGCATTGGGACTCATGCTCCTTATGACGCCCGTCTAAGCTTACTTCTATTGGTGTGATGAAACACCATGGAACTTGGTGGAGGGAGGAGAAGGCTTGTTTGGCTTCCACGTTCCAGTCACAGTCTACCGTTGAGGGAAGTCAGGCCAAGAGCTGGAGCAGAGGCCACGGAGGAGTGCTGTTTCCTAGCCTGCTCGCCATGGCTGTCTTATACCACTCAGTGTGCTGGGCCCTCCCACATCAATCATTGATCAAGAAAATCCCCTAAAGACTTGCCTACAGGCCAGTCAGATACAGGCATTTTCTCCGGTTGAACTTCCTCTTCCCAAGTGGCCCGAGCTTTTGTCAAGTTGACAAAAACAAACAAAAAAAAACCCACCAATAACAACACCAGGACTGAGCCCAAATGAAGACAGGAAACTTCCCAGGTCCCAACTGAAGAAGGGTCCAACTAGAACCTGCCACACTAAAAGCAGTTGTCCCAAGACTAAGTCAGATGGAAGACGCCTCCTGAGCCTATCCTTGGGAGGTCTCACTTCCTGAGTCTTCCTTACTAGAGCAGCTGTTGGGAGACTCTGCTGTCCCTACCCGACCAGTCTCTGGCCTTCGGCAGTGATTACTATTGAGTTTTTTTGTGGCAATTTCTTCACATGTGGAAGATTCCTGAAGGCTTTACCCTGTTTGGTTTAGGATGTTAGCCTATTTCTAAATATCATCTTGAAGTCTTTATTAAACCATATTTAGAGCAGGACTCCCCTCTCTCTGAACGAGAGGCAGTCAACTCTGCTACCTGCTCCTATATGTGTGTGGAGTTGGGGAACTTGGTAATCACACAAGCCTCAGAGAACCCACTAGAGAGATCACATACAATAGCAAGGCCTCTTCAACTTTGCTTTGGAATTGCCCAACTGTGGCACAAGGCAGTACAGGCTCTGCCAGGATTAAGGTAAGAACAGGTTAGTCACTGTGTGTTGACATTATCTGAAATAGAACGATGGTAAGCTGAGTGTAGCTACTTCTTCTGGGCCTTGAAATGGAGAGAAAGGAAAGGCATATTTCAGACTCCTTCCATGGTTAGAATGGGTCTCATTAAATAAACAACTGGCCCAGAATGTCACTACTAATGAGAAATGCAAGGAGAACGTCACCCTTGTCCCTCACATTAGCCACTTTGTTCCTGCAAGACCCCTAACAATGCAACCACACACCATCCAACCTGCATGTTGTTCTTGCCATCATCACAGGTAAAAAAATAAGTGGTGCGCTCCAGCTATCTCAAACTACCAACTGCAGGAGTCAGGATGGTATGGGGGAGGGGTACAAGCCATGCTTATGTATACCTCACAGCTGTCTTCATATGTTCATACATCTTCAGTTTGTCCATAAACACCGAATTGCAGCCTAGTTTGCCTTGTAAACAACCTGGAGCCTAGCTTTATAAAAAGTGTCGGAGTCTCAGCCAATCACAACTGCTTGAGCCATGTTGAACTAAGACAGACAGGCGCAGTAACCAATCAGCGGTCACTCTACCCCATTTTCTTTTTCTTTTCTTTTCTTTTTTTTTCTTTTATATCTCAGTTCCTTTTCTCTGGCTCTAAGTATAATCTGATTGGCTGGACCTTTTGAGAATGGGATTGCTGCCTGGTCCTAGAACTAAGAAAAAAAAATCAAATTATGATCTGTAAAACTAGATTTGCTGGTGTGTGTAGGCATGTGTGGGTCCACATTGCTGGGGACAAAAGCCAGGGTCTCATAAATGTTAGGCTTTACCACTGAGCTACACTCCCAGCATGTATTTTATTTTATTTATGTATGGATGATGTGTGAGTGTGTGGCCCCATGTGGAAGTGAGAACAACTTTTGGGAGTTGCTTTTTCCTTCCACAATGCAAGTGATTATTTGTAGACTCTCAAAAGCTAGAGAAAGTCCTGCCAGTATAAACAAAGAAGGGGGAGGTGGTGGCACTTGCCTTTAATCCCAGCACTCGGGAGGCAGAGCCAGGCAGATCTCTGTGAGTTCGAGGCCAGCCTGGACTACAGAGTGAGATCCAGGACAGGCACCAAAACTACAGGGAGAAACCCTGTCTCAAAAAACCAAAAAAAAAAAAAAAAAAAAAAAAAAAAAAAAAAAAAAAAAAAAAAAAAGTGCATGGGCTGACAGGATGGATAACTGAGAGAAAGATGCTTGCCACGAAGCCCAAATTCAGTCCCCCGAACCTACATAGTAGAAGGGGAGAATCAAACCTCTCTACACACACATTATGATATGTGTATGAGCACAGACACACAAATAAGTAACTTTTAATATAAAAAAAAATAAAAGTACGTTTGTGTTCTTTGCCTGGAGTTCCTGACACAACGATCCACAAATTGGCAAGTGTCGGAGTGGTAAGATTGTCTCTTATTTATGAAGCTCTCCAGTTGACCACACAGGAGTTGATGGTGTGGGACCTACAGACAGCCACACAATTGGGCTAGTTATCCAAGAAGCCCTCTATGAGGTTAGAGACAGACTTCTCACCCCACCCCAACCTGGGCTGCAGATTTAAGCAATCACGACTCAATAATGACATTGACAAAACCAACCTCTTCAACAGGAGGCCTGGAGAGCCTCATGTTGGTGACCACACAGCTACTACCAGAGCGGTACACCCAAAGAAGGCTGCAAATTCCTCCTTGACCCTCAGACCACAACCTACAATCTCTTCCATTTGGCTGCTCTGAGCTTGCAGCCTTTACAGCTGAACTATAATTCTAAGGAAGTGCTTTCCCGTGTTCATTCCAGCAAGCAACATGAGGGAGGTCGTGGGAGCCCTGTAATTGGCAGTCTGCTGGGTAAAACTGTGGGTAATTGGGGGATACGAGAGATTCACAGCTGGAGTCTGAACTAAGAAGGCATAACATGGTACTGAGTGAGCCTCTCAGCAGGTGGACTTTTCACCAACTCTGGTCTCTGTCAGAACGAATAGAATTGCTCTTGGAATGGTGTGAAGACAGCCTGGGAGAAGACCCTTGGCAGAGTGAGAATGCTTTTAGTCGTTTGCAGTGGCAAACATCCGGGGACTCCCCAGCCCTGATGCAGGAGGAACCACGGCACAGGTTAAAAGGCTGCTGCCAGTCTGTAATTATGACTATGAAGGGCTATCATATCCAGTGTGTGTTCATTTATTTAATTTGTGTGTATGTGGGGGTGGGTGTTCTGCCTGCATGTGTGTCTGTGCTCCTTACACACGTCTGGTGCCCAAAGGGCCAGAAGAGGGCTATGGATTCCCTAGAGTACTGGAATGAACCTGCGTCCTCTAGAAGAGCCGAGCCGCAAGTGCTCCTAACCACTGACCATCCAGCCCTGACGTCCAGTGTTTTGATCGATCTTCAACGCATCCTGAGTATCTGCTATAGATTGGGCATTGTGACAGGCATTGAAACAGTTACATTGAAACTACCTAGACGCGGGTGGTCAAGATACAAACATGAATGAGGCCATCAACTTTGATGACGAAACTACCTTTGGAGTGTCTAGTCCATGCTACATACAGAATCACCAAGAAGTGACAAGCTGGAAAGGATCCACAGGATCCCCTCCCTCGTCCTCTGTCCACGTGACCATACTCTGCGTGTGCCCTCGATGTCAGCCTTCCTCGGGGGTTCTGGTGAGACTAGTTAAGCCACACCTTTCAAATCAGCTGGGGCGAGCCAGCCAGAGGCTGAGCGGTCAGGACAGAGGTTGGAATTCAGAGCTAGGACCAGGTTCCAGGCTTCATGGACCGGTGGGAGACAGACAGGGCTGGAGAAGTAGAAAAGGCAGAGGCTATAGAGGCAGTGGAGGCTGTGGAGGCTGTGGAGGCTGTGGAGGCTGTGGAGGCTGTGGATCCAGTACGCCACATCTGGAATGGCTGACTTCTGCCATTCCTTACTCCTCTCCTCTGTATTTGTTTATTAACTGCCTAGCTATCGGACCTGAATTCCGGGACCAACTCTCTCATCACTTGTCCTCAGAATATACCAGGAGCTTGACCCATCCACGGTGGAGCACAGTGGACTCCTGAGCTGGAGAGAACATGGGGCCCACCTGCACTCAGCTCTAACTTCTTCCCCAACAGTGGGGAAGGGGGCAGCAGGATCCAGCCCACTTCCGACAGCAAAGGCTCTGACTTAACTCTTTCTTGTTCCCGAGTGACTAGACCTGGAGAAGAGGGTACTTACTCACAGGAGCTGCAATCATTCTCCCTGGACTTCTTTAAACGGGAGCCTGAAATGCTTCAACTCGAAAGGCTAGTGACGCTGTCATTTTCCCCCTTTCAGTTTTTGAGATAAAGCTCTAGACATGTTGCCCAGGCTGGCCTGGAACTGACTATGTAGGCCAGACTAGGCTGGCTTTTAATTAGTGTCAATCTTTCTGCTTGACACCCCAATCTGACATTATCAGCGTGTACCATCATGCCTGGAGAAAAGATTTCAAATCCAAACAAAGCCAGAAAGTTTGAATTTGAGTGGAAGGGTCCAGCCTCAACTAAGTAAGCCAGTGCCAGTCTCAAACAACAACAAAAGACACAAAACACATAAACATGCCTAGGGAAGGAAGAAATCAGAGATCTAGGAAAATGAAATTGCTTTGTGTTTTAACAAATTCTCAGGTGACTCTGGCTGTAGTGGCGCCAAGACCAGGTAGAACCATGGCTTTGTTCTTGTGCAGGTGTCCTTCAACTGTACCTGATACCTCAGAGGTGGTCAGTGAACACCTTGTAATGCTAGATGGCAAATCCCCTCAGTTACCATTCACAGTAAGAGGAGGAAGTCAGGAGGGGCCCTGTGGACCTAACAGGAAGTGCTGAGGCCAACTGGAAACTCAGGAGGTACAAGTTGGACCACCCTCCCAAGTGGGCCCGGAAGAGGTTTCTGGGGTGAAGGTAACACCAAGGGGAGGCTCCTCGTGGGCTCAGCTCTGGACTTATCAGGCCCCGGGGCGGGTCTTATCAAGCTCTGGACGGCAGCCAGTTCTGTGTCCCTTGGACTCAGGCAGAAAGCCCTGAGCTGGTCACTTGCACTTGGAGACTTCTCAGCAGGGGACAGAGATCAGGAACACAGTGTTCTCGACACTCTAGAGCCTGTGCTGCCCAATAGGGGGTCTTTGTTTTGTTGTGCGAGGCCGTTACCAGGCAACCTGGCAGCTGACTCACTGTAATTTCAGGGCTAGTCAAGTACCTGTGGGCCTCCTCCCCCAACACCAGGGAGCCCAGAAGCCCCACCTGTGAGGAGGGGTCCCTTCAGGGGGTCTCAGGCAGAACAATGCATTGTCCTCCTGAGGGGTCTGTGGAGGTTTAGTTCCCAGGACCCTTCCTCCACTCACTGGTCCACTCTACCTCCAAGAAGGGCAGCACTCCAACCACAGGTCTTAGGCCAGAAGCGCTTGCTGGCAGCCTAGCTAAAGTACTCAGATGAACAGGTAAACAGGTGAACAGGCTCAGGCACCAAACCAAGCCTTGCTCAAGGAGCTAGGGTAACTAACTGCCCTGCAGTATTTACTTCCCTGCTATCTTAGTATTCATTCAACCATACTTTCCAGTGTCAAATGTAGCACCCCGGTGCTACAAAATGCTCGCACAGTTAGATCAGTGTCTCTTTTGTGCACAATGCTGTCTCAGCAACAAGGACAACACGGTGCCACATTCTTACAGAATTATCAGAGGACAGAATTCAAACTCCAGGGAGGGCTCCTAGTCCTGACCAGTATCCCACAGGCAAGGAGGGGGCACACCAGTGTGTTAGCCATCCATGAAGAACATTCATTTCAGTAAATGGCCCCAAGAATAAAACGGTCATATTCTGTATAGTTTTCTTGAATTTAGGAAACCTTACATTAATTCTGAGTAATTTCTTATTCACGGATGGCAAGTAACTTTCCATAAGCCACGGGTATTTTTCTGTAATATTCTTCTGCATTCTTCCCATCCTAGTTTGTTATTGGTATTGTCTTTTTCCTTTTATTGATCGGTAAGTGTTCTTTACATATTAGGGAACTTGGCCTTCAGTCAAATACTTTCCATGTTTTTTCAATATGTTACTTGTATTAAGATCTTGTTTGTGGCATTTTTTTTCTGACAAGTTTTTTTGCACGGTCAGTCTTTTAAAAATAATCATTTATGTATATGTGTGTGCCTGAGTATATTGTGTGCACTACATGAGTACAGTGCCTGTGGAGGCAAGAGGAAGAGGAATCAGGTTCCCTTGGAACAGGAGGCCGTGAGCTGCCATGTGGATGCTGAGAACTGAACCCAGGTCCTCTGCAAGAGCAGCCAGTGCTCAAAACTGCTAAGCTCGCCCACCACCTGCCCAGTCAGTCCTACTAATCATTTTCCTTGCTGACATCTGCACGCTTAAATAGCTCACTTCAGGTCCAAGGTTTTGTTTGTTTGTTTGTTTGTTTGTTTGTTTGGTTGGTTGGTTGGTTGGTTGGTTTTTGAGACAGGGTTTCTCTGTGTAGCCCTGACTGGCCTGGAACTCGCTCTGTGGACCAGGCTGGCCCCACACTCAGACAGCCTGCTTCTCTCTGCCTCCTGAGTGCTGGGATTAAAGGTATCTGCCACTACTGCCTGGCCCAAGATTTTTTAAATTCTGTTTTCTCTCTTTTTTTAAGAGAGAGAGAGAGAGAGAGAGAGAGAGAGAGAGAGAGAGAGAGAGAAGAGAGAGAGCCTGTGCATCACATGCATGCAGTGACTGTGAAAGCCAGAAAGGGGCACTGAATCCCTGGACTGAAGTTGCAGTCACTGTGAGCCACCAGGTGGGTGCTGGGAATTGAACCTGGGTCTTGTGGAAGAGCAGCCAGTGTTCTTAACTGATGAGCCATTTCTCCAGCCCCATTTTCTTTCAACTTTTATGGTTTGTTATTTTATATTGAGATATTTGTTCTATTTTTCTTTCATCTCCCATGATTGGTTAGTTATGTACAGTATTTATTGAATGACCCCCTTTTTTACATCATTTTTCAATATCAGCTTTACAATTAAATTAGATTTCTTTGCATATTTCCCTCATTCCCTGACTCTCTGGTGGTTGCTAGTCTTTTCTGTCTTTTTTTTTTTTTTTGTTGTTGTTGTTGTTGTTTTGTTTGTTGTTGGGTTTTTTTTTTTT